AAATGGCCGCCGCAATACCCGATCTTCGCAATGCGGGTTTTCCCCATTGCGACGATCGGGGATGTTTCCGTATAGCGATCCCGAAAAAGGGATCGCTATACGGAAACATCGCTATACGGTGCACTCGTTAAGCGAGGCACCACTGTATTCACATTCTGAATCAAACACTGTGTAAAACCCCAGGCGAGAGTCAGGAAGCTTATGCAGGAGTGCTGTCGCTTCCGTCATGATCTAACGCAACTCAGACCTCCCCCCCCACCTTCCCCACCTAGAAAAGAGAACAAGCAGGTGGACACTAAGGAGTTGGAGGAGATGAGAGAAAGAGAGGGTCACAGACACCAAGGGGTGGATACCCGAGATCTGTTACAAGTGATGAAAGGGTTAAACATATCAGGACAAGCTGGTGGAAATTTGGCGGGAAAGGAGGGAGGTTGGATAGAGACGGGCATAGGGGATATAAGGGAGAAGCGGGACGAGATCCTGGGCGGTTGGGAGATGATATGGGTCCGAGACCCATGGACAGGGAAATGGGAACAAGTGAAGGTTCCCCATGAAGAGGCAGAGAGAAGGAGGCACCAAGGACAACAACCCCGTCCATCTTATTGGGGAGAGACCGAGGCGAAAGAGTGGAGGCGTCGCCTGAGAGAGGAGCGGGAGGCCATGGCAAGGGAAATCGAAGCCAAGAAAACATGGCATCTCACAGAGCTTCAGAAGATGGGGGTCTTCCCGGACCGTGGCTGGCCAGTCCGGGAGAGGGTTCCCCGTTCTGGGGCTGGAGCGGAGATGAGGAGACCCTGCCACTACTAGGTCCCGAAGGCGACGACGGCAAACCACCGGTCACAGAGAAGGTTTTATCTGGGCCGTGGAACTTTGATGAAACTAATCCCTTTGTTAATAATGTTTGGACACCCTTGCAATCGAAGTTCAGAGAGCAAGAGACTTTAAATCCCGTTCAAAGAGATGTTACTGTTAATGTTGGACTGTTAATAAATGAAGACAATGTTGAGGAGTTAAAACCGTCTCATGCTTTATTGAGTGTGACTGAAGCCCATAATACTGAACCCTCACACACTGCAATGCAGAAAATTCTTTCCCTACTCTTTTTAGGAGACATGGCTTGTGCAACCCTACTCCTTCAGTGTCTGTGAGCAGAAGATCCGAAGTGTGCCATCCTCAGTAGAACATCCTGTGGAAGTAAGTGGATGCTGTGTAGTAGGAGAATTAATTAAGTTAGACGATGAAGGAGCTGGAAGTGTTTCTGGCTGAGAGTAGATCAAAGGATTGGGGGGAGGAGCTAGATGACTGGAGATGGGAGGATATAAAAGAGGAGGGAAGAGAGAGGGAGAGTCAGTCACCAGGGGAGGAGAAAAGTGTACAAACGGATGAGACTGGAGTAGAGAGGGATAGAATTGCCAAACTGATAAAAGACTTCCCTAATGTAATGAAAGAAGATGGACTGTTGCCTGTGCCACTGAAACTGAAAAAGAAGAATCAGGGTGAGCCAAAGAAGGGATGGAGTCGGGAAGTGGTTTGATTACTCGGGTGTCAGAAGCCAGTGAGATCCCATGTGGGGCCAGTCATTATCTGCCCAGACTGGAGGGTTTGGTAGTGAAACACCCATGTTGCAGGACCACTTGTGCGGTGTTGAGTGCTCCAATACAGAATATGATGTCAACCTCCCTCTCTGGGCTGAAGAGAATGTAAACGCTGAGAAGCCTGTTGATGTTGTGAAACCAAAGAAGTATAACTTGTTGACAGAAACTGATTTGTTGGACCCGTTTGGTCTTGGTTTACCAGATGTTAATTGTAATAAAACAAAGTTATTTGGGACAGTAATGTCTACGCCTTCAGTCATTCCTGCCGAAACCCTGGGCCCGCCTACATTAGTCAAAGAACCCAATCACAGTGTCTAAGAAGACAAAATTGAAGAGAGTATGAGAAGTTCTGTTTTCTTTGTATTCGCGAAGGCTTTCACGGCTGGGATCTAATTACTGTTGTGGGTTTTTTGGGCTCTTTGGCCGTGTTCTAAAGCTTGTTCTTCCTGACGTTTCAACAGTCTCTGTGGCTGGCATCTTCAGAGGACAGCACTCTGTGCTCTGGTGTTGTTTGTTTGGGAGTGGAGTATTTATGGCTGTGAGAAAAAGCCTATTCGCTTGTATTGGTCTGGATATTTACTTTAGCAACCTACAGGGCTTCATTGCAGTCATGTTTGGGAGAACCATGTATGGACAGTAAGCTGTGGCTATGGGAAGAGAGACTACCCATAGGTAGCAACAGTTACAAGCTTACACTAGTAAATATCAAAGAAAACTATTAAGCTTTCACTACAGCTCTGTACTCACAAGAAAATCAATTCTGCTTAAGCTTCTTTTTAATCAGAAGAGGATACTGATTCATCAGAAACATCCACATTTTCCATTAGGAAAAAGGATAGCTGTCAAGCAGTGAGTCATGGGCTTCTAGTACTTCTATAACAAGCATGCAACTGAAAGAAGTGGGCAAACGAAAAGGAAAAAGAAGGTATCTTTTCGGTAAAATAAAAGAAACCTAAGATAATGA